TGGACACCATCCCTCCTCCCCTCCGGCCATCAGAGCAGAGAAGCTCAGAGCACAGCACAGGCCCTCGGTGTAGGCCCCTGTCTGGGTGCCCGGCTGGCCGGGCTTCTGCGGGAGCAGTGGGCGACAGGGTGCTGGGTGACAGGGTGCTGGGAAAGGTCATGCACATTGTGTCTGTCCAGTCGCCCTCCCAGCGTCACAGAAACACAGGGGCAGAAGTCTTCCCCGGGGAGAGTGCCTGACGGCAGGCTCAGGTGTAGGTTTGCGTTGGTTCCTGGTAGCTGCTGTTTGGAGGGGACAGGAGGGCAGCGGGGCTTGGTGAACATCCCCTGAGCCGGCGGCACTTTATGTGGCTTCTCTGACGCCTGCCACTGCCTCCTCGCCTCACTCTCTAGGTGACTTTCACGAAAGTCTCATGTCTCAGCTCCGAGGGGGTTTGTGTTGTTTTGGTTGCTTTTTTGTGGGGGATGTCATGCAACTGGACTCATCTTGTTTCCTCCCAAGTGCCTATCTCAGGGTCTGGCACACAGTGGGTGGCTTATGGAAGAATTCTGAGTTGTGAAGGTGACTTCTCTTGCCAGCCCGCATGGCTGTGGCCCCCGAGCTCGGTGTCTGCCCCAGCCTGGCGTGGCTCAGCTGGTTGAGGCGGGACCCTCCCCCTATCCCCCCACCCCAGGATTCCAAATGTGGGAATGTGGTTCCCTCCTCCAGTTTAGCGGAAAGTTACCTGGGGAATTTAGGAGAAAGAGGGCTTCATGCCTGAACTAGTCAGATGAGGCTGCACTGCCTCTCGCTGACCCAGGCGGCATCCTGGCCTAAGCCTGGCATTTCACAGCTGAGGAATCAGCCGCCGCCCCCCACCCCGCCGCCCCGGGGCATCTGTGGGGAGGGTGGCAGGTGCAGGCCCTGGCTCTTTAGCAGGGGGACCCGGAATAACGTGATGACGTGATGACGTATGGCCGGGCTAGTTCTGATGCCAGTAACTAACAGCCCGGCCTCTGGATTGGAAGGAGGCCCGCTCCCTTCTTCGCCCTTCCTTTTCCTTGAGTGGGGGGACAGGCTCCCATTCAGACAGAATTCATCCCCCCGGACACTGCTCTGCAGGAAGCCCTGGGACCAGGTGGGGAGGTGTGGGTACGAGTGGGGAACCCATGTGGCCTGGGAGACAGGGGCAGGTGTGGAAAGGCAGCTGGAGGGTGAGGAACGGTGAGTTGGCCGGGAGGTGAGCTCCTAGTTCAGGCTCTAGCAAGGCCTCTGGTGTCAGTTAAGCTTGCTACCAATGAAGCCTCATCCCCCAACCCCTCCCAAAAATGCAAACAAACAGGAAACAAGCGAACATTTATTTGTAAGTGCACAGGTCTCGCCTCCAGGCTGGCTCCTGCATTTCAGGGCCCGTGTCTGACTGTGACGCGTGGCCGGCTCTCCGACCCGGAGGTGCCTGGCTGGGAGGGGGAAGGGCGGTGGGGGGTGGGCACTGTGGGGGTGGCGGTGTTGGCTCCGTGCTGGGGCGGCTTTGATTTATCCCTAATGAGTTCTCAGCACATGGCTGCTCCCAGCGCACCCCAGGGGCCAGCGCGGCTTCCCGCGGCCCGGCTCGCAGACTCTGCCACAGCCGCTCGCTCAGAAAAGAGCCAATTTCCACACTGCACAGTCCGCTTCACTCGGGGAAATCACATTTCCCTGGGAGAGCCGCAGGCGGCACCTCCCTGCCCAGCCTGGCCGGCTGCCACAGGCACAGATGGAGGCATCGCCCCCGCCCCCTCAGCGCCCCACTTCCCACCCCTGAGAGACCCCAAATCTCCGGGAGGCCTCTTCACAGCTGCGGCCTGGCATCACTGCCCGGCAAGAGTCGGAGAAAGAGTGCTGTCCTCCGAGGGACCAGCCTCTAGGGAGAGGCACTGGCTCTGTCCTAGGGGCTTGGAGAGGGGGAGGGTGTGGTAGGTCTCCACTACCAGCAGGAAATGGCTGTGGGGTGTCCCTCGCTGACAAGGGTGCAGAGGCTTTCCTGACCAGGCTCGGACCCCTGAGCCCTTCCCACACCCTCAACACAGAGGTCTCTCAACAGGCTGCGAAAGGAGTCATTGCTGGGACCCGGCAGAAGAGGGACCGGAGTAGAAAACTGAGGGGGGAAAGGAAAGAGAAGGGGAGAGGGAGGAGGTCAGTCGCCTCTCTGGGACCGGGGTCCTTGCTTTCACCAACACCACAGCCATGGCCGGCTCGGCTCAGCTGGTCATGCCTGTTGGAAGTGACACAGGAGCTGGGGCCCTGGAGCATCACACATCGTCCTTCAAATGGTGGTGCATGTGGCCCTGAAGGCCGGGAGGGGAGGGGACCAAGGATGTGGGGGAAATGGATCCACCCGGCACTTCTCCTCGGCCTGAAGGCTGACCGCTGGGAGCCGGCAGCTCTGTCCCTCCTCACACAGAGATGTGCCGGAGGCCACATCCAGACACTGGATGCCTTCGAGGAGGGTGCAGATTAGTGCAAAATGGGGCCAATGTCCTCAATCAGAGAGAAATGGATGCAGAGAAGTTTTATAAACAAAAGACACTACAGCTACGTGAAGGGTTGTCATAACCTCTGAGGGTGGGGAGGGCGGGTGAGGGGGCAGTGAAATGGAAGGCCAGGAGGGGGCCCCCAAGCCACTGGAGGTCAGCCCCCTCTTCCTGCACCTACTACAGGACAGGGACACCAGGAATCGCCTCAGGAAGACGGGTGGGTGTGGGGAAAAGTGCATGTGTCGGAATGGGGAGAAGAGAAGGAGGAGAGGGAGCCCTCGGCGGGCCCATCTGGGCTGCGGCACCAACTCCCCTGCCTGAGGCTGTCTGGGTTGTGAGTGGCCCCAGAACCAGGTGGGGCTGGAGAGGCAGGGAATTCATGTTCGTTAGTAACAACTTTCAGCAGGAATGTTGGGGAAGCGAGGGTTGGACCTGGCCCAGGGCCTTGCCACGGAGGCAGGACTCCCAGCTGCCCCTTCCCCAGCCTGTGGGACAGAGGGTCTCAGCAGCTCCAGCCCCCGTGGAAAGATGGGTTCTGCCCCTCCTGTGGGCCCAGGGAGGGTTCAAACTGCTCTGTCTCCCACCGAGCAGGGGCTGCCTTCCCACCCGGAGCCTCTGTGGGCTTCATGCCGGCCGGCCCAGCTGGTGCAGGGAGGGCGGGCCCTGAGGAGGGAATGGGGACCATGAGGGACCAGGGTGAGTGGCCTCAGGGCAGAGGAGCCTGTCCACAGCGGAGAGGGGCTGCTCCAGTGTGCAGGGGCAGGCGAGGTGGGCCCCACTGCTGCGGGCATGCCCGGGCCCATGCTGTTCCCCGAATTCTCCTGCCAACACGCTGCTCCCACAGGCCTTCCAAGGACTAGGCCGACCGTGCCACACAGTCCACCAGCCCCTCCCTCGGGCCACTGTGACTCATCCTGCCCTCCACACACAGGCCCCATCAGGTGGCTTCCAGCTCTGCCCTGTGCTCCCCTGTCCTCCTCACCTTCTCCTCACACCCTTCTCTACTGCCCTCATGTTCCCCAAGTCGTCTTTCTCCCCCAGGACATCACATCGCTGGCTGCACGGTTTGACCTCGGAGGGAATATCTGGCCTGCACACCTGGCCCGGCCACCCTTGCCGGCACCTCAGAGCAGTGTCCTGGGCACCCGGGTGGCCTCAGAAAGAGGCAGGTGGCTCCGAACCTCAGTCACCATGGCACAAGCACAGCCACTCAGGGCTGGAGAGGGCCAGCCAGCGCACCGGTGTTTGCACCGCAGGCTCCCTGGGTGCCATGCATCCCACAGGGATTCCTGGATGGGGGTTCACTGTGGCCCCAGAACCAGGTGGGGGCTGCCTTAGGGCCTGAGGAGGCCAGCATTTCAGGATCACGAGGAGTCTCAGGGGTACCAGGCTGGGTCCCCCCCACCAGGCTCCTGGCCAGAGGGAAGCCCTGATGTTGAGAATGAGCCTATCGCAATCCTCTGCGAAGAGACAGGGACCAGTTATCCCCATGGGAACGTCCTGCTGTCCTCATCCTCGGTGAGCATGCTGGCCTCTCCTGTCTGCCACCCCTTGGCCTCCCAGCCCGGAGTCCCTGAATGCTGGGTGTGTGTGCAGGGGGGTGGGGGGAGTAGAAAGGGGATTGGAATCCTCTTTCATCTGACTCAGCCTCAAGTGCTGTCTTTGCAGCCGTCAAATTCACCACACAGCCCTGTCTCTCGTTCCTGGGTCAATTGGAGAGGGTCCCTGTGGACAGCAGACAGCCCCTGGGGGGCCAAGAGCCCTGCTGGGGCAGAGCCCTGCAGCCACCAAGGTATGTGGCTCTTGCTCTCTAACGTATCTCAGAAAGAGGTTGTCCCTGCGGGCTCCCTCCTTCCTTGTTGGCACTGCCACCCTGTGCCTCTCCATGGTGCCCTGCAGGTAGGTCCCTCCGGCACCAGACAGGGCTCTATGGTGTTGGGTGAAAGTGCTGGACTTACGGTAAGAGAACTTGACTGAACCCGCCGCCTCCACGCTTGGATTTCATTTTTTCCGAGCCTCAGTTTGCCCGCATGTAAAATGGGGCTAACCCCACCTTCACCTTCACTGATGTGAGGCCTCCACTCTGTGGCCAGCACAGCAGAGCCCAGTAGATGTCTGCTCACTCCCCTTCCCCCGCCTCCCCATACCACAGGGTCACAGGCTGCTTCTGTGAGCAGCCATTCCTGGTGCAGTCGCCAGCCTCCCGGGACAGACAGTGGACTCTGTTAACAACAGCAACCACAGCAGCCACTATGGAGAGCCCGCCACTGGCCTGGAACGCCTGCGCTTATTTTATTCTCGCGGGTACTCGGAGCTGGGGAAGTGAAAGCGCGGGATGGGTGGTGTGCCTGGCCTGAAACATGTTAGGGCAGAGGGAGAACATAAGTCAGGCCTCCTGGGTACTCCAGACCCCAAAGCGAGTGTCCACTGGGCCTGAGGTTCTCTGGATAAAGTCCCCCCCCCCCGCCCCCGCCCCACCCAATACCTCCCAGGCAGCCCCAAAGCTTGGAATGGAGTAATGGTTTATTGAGTTGAGTGGCAGTAGTGGCGTCTTTAAAAAAGAAAGAAGCATCGGGGAGAGAAGCCCAACATGGCAGGGAGACACTTCAGAGAGGCCACAGTCTGGGTGGACAGAGGGAGCGTACCCATCAGAGCTGCATTTACAGTATTTACAGTCAGGCCTGGGGCGGGAGCGGCAGGCGCAGAGGGAGCCTGCGTGGCTGGCTGAGTGGCAGCAGCCTCCTCAGGTGTGGGGGGCGTGGGCCGAGGCAGGGCCGATGGGAGGGACACGAGTTCCTGGCAGCTCTGCCTGCCCTGCGCTGGGCCCCTGGGGAAGTCTGTGTGCAGCTGTCAGAGGCTGGTCTCTGGGACAAGCTGCAGGAGGAGAAGCTGGGGTGGTGGGGCATCACAGAGCAGGCAGAGGAGGGCCCTTGCCCGCCAGTGGAGCTTTTGGTTGACTGGCGGGGCTCTTAGGCTCTCAGCCCGTGGCCAAGGGGGAGGTGCAGGCGGAGCCAAGCCGGCTGGGTCGGGGAGGTGGAGGGCAGGAGCCTCAATTCTGGGGCAGCTCAGTGAGTGACCCCCAGGGTGGCTGGGGAACAGCCTTCCTATGGCTGTGACTCCTGGGCCAGACGGAACTGCTAAGAGCCCAGGACCGATTGATCGACCGCTAGTGCATGTTGATGGTGGAGCCTCAGAGGTGCCGTGGGCTCCTCAGCCCCCTGTGGGCTGCCTGCCATCCCCTAAAGCTCGCAGCTCCTCTGCTCCCCGCACCCCTCCAGTTTTGCGTGTTTCAGGGTGCGGCGTCCCTCCCTGGGACTCCGTCTCACTGAGGAATCCCGGAGGACAGTCTGGCCTTCTGCAAAGTCATCCTGTCTTTCACGGTTCATTAAGTCAACCACACAGGAGTGCGACCCGTGTGCCGGACTTGTGATTATTTTCGTGTAATAAATAAAGATTCCTTTCGGGCCCGGGTCCTCCTGCTGCTCCGTCGCTCCCACTGTCCCCATGGCGACTACAGGTGGTCAAAGGCCGTGGCGGTGGTGGGCGGTGCGCTCGGCCTCGATGTGGAACTGTAATAATATGGGGAACCTGGACACGTCAGAAGAATAACAACAACAGCGCTGGTCAGAGGGGGGAATTGCACCACAGCCGCCCTGGCATCAGCTAACCTTTAAGACAGCTCAGGTTAATCATTCACCCCCTGGCCTATCTGATCATCAAAGATTAACTCCTCTCCGGCCTGTTTCCTCCTTCTCTGACCTCACCTTTGAGTTTCTGGCCAGAAGGAGAAGGTGGCTCCTTGTCCCTCCCCCCACGATTGCTGTGACCTTCAGCGCCCTTGTTTTAGGGAGAGAGAGCAACAGAGAACAGGTACGCACACAGGGGCACCATCAGGGCCTCCCCAGCTCTGCCCAAACTGTGCGAGGTCATAGAATCTTCCTCTTCCAAATCAGAGGGATTAAACATTTGACTGGTTGTCCAGGCCAATGTTTCTCAGTGGTTAGAGCGTTGGTTCACACACCAAAGAGCCGTGGGTTCATTTCCTGGGCAAGGGCATGTACCTGGGTTGCAGGTATGATTCCCTGACCTCGTCATATCAAATTGTCTCTCTCACACCAAAAATGAATGGCAAGAAGATCCTCGATGAGGATTAACAACAACACAACTTCTGACAGGTAATGAGGGCTGTGAGTTTTTGGGGACCTCCACTGGGAGATTCTGTGGGACGGTGACTGACCCTTAGTCCCCCTGGCTAAACTGAGCAGCGAGTGGCAAGGTGGTAGGAGGAGAGGGAGGTCTTGAGAAAGATAGCCCTGCCAGGCCTGTGATGATGCCATGGGGTCAGCCACGCTCCCACCACTCCTCTCTCTGACCCAGGTTGGTCCAAGGTCATCACTCAGGGAGACTGAGTGAGTTTCCTCAAGTTCCCACTTATGAGGCATGATTTCCTGAAAAGCTTCTCCACGCAGCCTAGGCCCGAGGGCAAGAGGGGTGCCGAGCAGCCCGCAGGTCACTCTCTGGACCTGAATTCTAAGGCTCCACATCTCCAGCCAACTTCCAGGACCGGGTGGAACAGAGGACTCCTGTGCAGGGCCTACTGAGAGCTGGGAGCCTCCTCAATGCCTAATGTGGGCAACGGGACAGCACTCGGTGCCATCGGCATGCTCCCAGGCAGGGGCAGCGGGCACTCTGCGTGGCAGCCCATCAGGGTTAGTGCTGCTGGACTGTGAGCCCCCGAAGATGGGGCATCCACTCTGTGGTTTCTTAATCCATCCTGGCCCTCCCTGAGCCCTGGATCCTCCTCAAAAGAAAGATCTCAGAGACATGGCCTTGGGCAGCAGGAGAGAGATGGGCAGGGAAGTCTCTCTCCACTCCTCTTCTTCCTCCAACGACCTGGCCACAGCCTGGCACACTGCTTTCATGCGAGTTATGAGTAACACCTGTCTCCCAGGCCCTGGTCTAACCTGGGCCTCCCAGGTTTGAGGCGACTTTGGCCCAGCCTTGTACCCCACCTGCCCTGCACGCAGAGGGTCTGGGCAGCCCCCGGGGACTTACTCAGCAAGCTGGAGTTGGGGAAGCGCCAGGCCTCGCTGTAGGAGGAGTAGGGGGTGTGGCCGTAGGCATTGCCAGAGTATTCACTTCCTGTTGGAGACACACAGTGAGAGGTGGGTGGAGCACCCACATGGGGCTGGGGTAGGGGAGAAGGGTGTGCAGGGCTGGCACTGGGTGAGCCCTGGGATGGGGAGCCAGGGCAGAACAGTGGCAGCTCAATAGGCCCTTCCCTTGGGGGCCCTCACTCAGTGCCGTTTGGAGCCGTGTCCTTTCCCCAGACACTGGGCCCCACCCTGACAAGCTCTCCCTCACAGGAACTGCATAGGCAGTTGTTCTTATTTTGCCCATTTTCCAGGTGAAGAACCAAGGCCTAGGGATTTGCATATGCTCACACAGCCAGAGGGGTTGGGAGCTGCGGGTGGAGTTTGGGAGCTGTGACTCCCGGGCCCAGCTTCCAGCCACCTCTACTTACTGCTTTCCTGTGAGGGGCTTTTCCAGGCAAGTCAATGGGGAGAGGGAGGGAGGGAGGAAAAGAGGGAGAAAGGGAGGGAGTAAGGGAAGGAGAAAGGGAGGGAGGGAATATTCAAATTAAAAAAAAAAAAAACAACCCTAAGAAAGTATCTAATCCAACCATCATTTCCCCAATGAAAAAACTGCTATGCAGAGAGGGAAAGACATTAGCCCTCGGCCACATGTGTAGTGAAGGCCAGCACCAGAACCAGACCCAGGCACTACTCCAGCTCTTTCTTGCACCCCACAATGTGAACTCTCTGTTTACTGCTGCTGTAGCTGAAATACCGCTGGCTTCACTACACCCAGCGAGGAAGCCGATTCAACCCTGGCTACACAACAAGGGCCCCATGCCTCTCCCCCCCCCCCCCCCCCCCCAGCTTCCCCCAGTGCCAACACTGCTGGCGCAGAGGAACAAGGAAGAGAAGTGGAAAATGCAATGTGCTTGCCCTCTCTTCTTGTCACTTACTCAGGCATTCACACTCGCACATGCATGTACTCACTTAACTCATGTCTGCAGGGCACCACCTACTTCAGTCCCTGCTCAGTAGGGACAAGCCTTGGAAGGTAGTGCAGTGTCCTCCCTCTGCCAGGACTGTCAATGTCCCTGCACCCACGAAAAGCCAGCTGTCCTCTTTGCTCTGCAACCCACCCCACTCATCACCGCAAGGACTTGATCCCTACAATGGATCCCTCCTCCTTTCTGCTTCATCGGTTCTCCCTTTCTAATTCATCACCCCCTTCAGCCAGCAAACATGCTCTGTTATCTTTTCTTTAAAAATCCTCTTCTTACTCCATATCCCTCTCCAGCTCCCAGCCCCTCCCCTGCTCCCTGGTCTTTGCCTTCACCGCTGCATTCCCCTCCAATCAGGCTGACCCTTCATATCCTCACTGCCTCTACCCAATCATCCCAGTGGTCACTTCTGTCTATCACTCCTTTACTCTCATCCACCAACCCCTCTCTAGGGGTGTGTGTCCTGACCCACTGGCCTCTCCACCACAGTCTCCTTCTGGTTCCTTCTCTGTGAGAACTCTAAAGAGCTCTATGGCATGACGTGTGAACCTTCTGTGAATTTCCATCCACCTTCTCTTTTCCATGATCTTGTCTTAGCCTTGTCATTATATCACAGCTCTGAGCAATGGCTGAAATGTATGCCCTCGACAGGATGGCTTGCTGACTTCAAACATATGTTGCACCTACTGACTTACTAAACTGGTATGTAGGTGGTGTCTCAATCCTAATCTGGCCTAACAGTACTCTTGATTTCCACCTGCCACATGCTCTACCTCTTCCTCTCCTAGTCTCCACCATGCATACATGCCACCGCCATCCATTAAGTTTCCCAAGCCCCAAGCCTAGAGACACTGAACCACTCCAACCAATTCACCTGCAAGTGTTGCTGGCTCTGCCACAGCATATATCTTGAGTATCTCTATTCTCCTCCTTCACTGCTGTCTCCCCAACCCAAGGCTGCTGCATGAACTACAATTGCCCCTGGTCTCTTTGCTGCCTTTTTTGAATGCCCACACCAGTTTCCCAGCAGCCAGAGTACTTTTAAAATTTGACCCAAGCCACTGCCAACATCTCATGGTAGAGTCCTTTCCCGCTCACTCACACCCTCTAACTGTGTGCGACCACAGTTCCTGCCTTGGATCTTTGCACTTTGAACATCTCAGAGAGGCTTTCCTGATCTCCCCTCCTAAAGTAGCATATTTTTTCCTTGTGGCTTTGTATCACACCATCCCATTTTGTTCCTTTTACAGCACTTACTGTCTATTCATTTGTTGGCTTGTTTTCCATGCTTTTTTTCTTCACTATTAGGTTGTAAACTCCATAAATAAAGAGACTGGTCTTATTCACTGCTATATCCCTAGCATCATATGCCATAGATCCTCAACTAGTATTTGTTCAGTGAAAAAGCAGTGGATGGATATATGGTTGAAATGATAGATGATGGAAGAATAATAGATAATGGAAAGATGGAAAGATGAAAGGATGAATGTATGCAAGAATGACTGGAAGAATGGAAGGATGGAGGGATGAAAGCATGGATGAATGGATAGATGGATGGATGGATGGATAAATAGGTGGAAAGATGAAAGAGTAGATGGATAGAAGAATGAAAGAATAGATGGATGAATGGAAGGAAAATGGATAGGAAGATAGAGGAATGAATGAGAAGATTTGTGGATATATGGGAAAATGTGTGTAAAGGGGAACAGAAGGAAAGATGGATGGATGAATGGATGGATGGATCAAACTATCTCTAGAGCTGTTGATTCAGCTCCAGAACTGGTGTGAGCATCATTAACTGTGTTAATGGGGCAGGGTCAACAACAACAATTAGGAGGCAAAATAGGAGAAGGCTGAGTCCTGTCCTGTTTTGATGTTGCTCTCTGACATGGTGTCATGATTTCTAGGATGGTGGGAGGCAGTGTGATATGTCTGACAGAGCCCTACTTTTGAAATCAAAATACGTTTTTGAACAACTCAGTCACATAGTATGGTTATAACCCTGACCACAACACTTTGCTTTTCTAAGCCTGTTTCTTATCTTTATAAAACTAAGACAACACCAACTTCCCAGGCTTATGGTAAGGATAAGTGAGAAATAAAGATATATATGAATGGCTAGGCACACAGAAGTACAGAGTAAGTGATCTCTTCCTTTCTTCCACAACTGATTGAAGACTGTCATTAACATGCCTTGCTTGAAACATTGCTGTTTACAAAGCACATAGTAGGTACTTAATGAAGGTTTATTAATTTTAATGGAAGGGATCCTCATTGTCCCTACGAGATTTAGCCTCTGGTAAGAGATGAGCAAATAATTTTCCTACAAAAGAATTCACCACAGAGTTCCTAGGAACCAGGTGAAACAATCAAATAGCACTGCATTTTCTGAAAATCAGATTTGCATGTAACTTATTGGAAGCCAATCCACTGTCCACTGCACAAGGCAAGGCCCCTCCTTTCCAGTTCACTTGCAGTGGATGCTGTGGTTGTGCTATTTTTTTTTCTTTCTTTTCTTTGTGTCCATAACACCCACATGAAATGAGGTCTTTCTGGAGACAACTGGAACCTTTGATGAGAGACCTAAGCTTTCCAACTACCTCCCAGGTCAGACTCTGGGCCCCAGGAGCCCCTTGCCCTGGCCATGCCCCCTGGATGATTCATAATTAAGAGAAAAGCCTGGGCTTTATGTTTCTTCCTCTAAGCAGGCGGCTGGAGAAGGTGGAGAGGTTGGATGGGGGTTGGGGGAGCTGACTGGAGCCTGGGATTTTGATTGAGAGGCCCCATTATCCACACTCTTAAAAAAATAACCGAATCTTTTCCTTTTTTATCTTGACCAATCTCATTTCACGCTCCAGAAGAGGAAGGAAGGGAGGGAGGGAGTCTGGGACCAGGAGGGAGAGAGGAGTGAGTATTCTGTATTTTCAACGCTGCATTAAGCACATCGCCACGGTAACCAGGCAGCAACAAGTGCCAGCTCAGCAGGTTCCCAGGGAGCATAGAGCCTGCTTCCCTCCCTCACTTCTCCTTCTGTTCCCTCTGCCCAGGAGAGCCCAGCCCCTGCCTCACACAGGGCACCAGAGTGAGTGCTGGCAAAGACAACTTTGCCAGGGGGCAGGAAAGCAGGCCTGGTGAAGGCACTGTCTCTGGGGTCAGGCTAGGGCATCTGGTCCAGTGGTGGCATAGGGATCACAGAGACCCTGACTCAGCCCCTTCCAGAAGCTCTAGGTCCTCAGGCATCTGGGCAGTGGAAACGTCCTATTCTCTCCTATGGCCCCTAAGAGAGACACCTGCCAAAAGAGACTCTCCTTGTCCTCCTCACATGTCCCTGCCTTGACACCCTGGGTCACCGTTGGGTGACAGCAGTGCTTGTAGACAAAGAAACCAAATGACTGGCAGGCAGGATTCCAGGCCATTAAAATGGTGATGGAGAAATGCTCCCAGCTCATCTCATACTCTGCAATACCTTCAGAATAGCTAGAACTCGGGTCCCACCCATACAGGGTTGAGTAGGTGTGGTATATGAAGATGGCTATATTTCAATCATATCATCACCCTCATCACCATCATCGTCATCACCTACACCACTCATATTCAGGTGTTACAGAAAGGTAAACTGTGGTTCACCAGTTAAATCACTGGGAGACCAGGGGTTACTTGAAGGCTAGGTTTATGTTTAGATGCCGTGGTTTGCAGCCTCCTAGGCTCCCTGAATGGAAGGACCAAGTGGTAGAGCTCCACTGCAATACCAGTCTACCTCAGCACCTCCCTTTTCATCACCATGGGTGATGTAGGAGCATCTGGGAAGAAGGAGGCAGAGCTGGGGATCAGTAAGAAGCCAGGACTGTACTGAAGTCTCTCCTCCAGACTTTTAAGAGATGCACCGTTCGGTCCCTCCTCCAGTGCCCTTTGGGGAGTCTATGCATGGGACACTCCCTTCCTCTTGCTCCATCTTTGGCCAACACTTCCTCTAGGCAATGCTCCCCCTCCTGTGTGTGCCCCCTTACCTGCAACCATGCCTGCGATGGCAGAGGAGGCATAGCTGCCCTGTCCACTGGTGGGGATGTGGGGTGGGTATCCAGGCAGCGTGGGCCCCACCATCTCTCGCCCTGGAAAAACACAGGAAGGAGTCCTCAGTTGGGCCACAGGAGGCAACTGTACTTACCATCTTGCTTCCTGGAGGATCAGTGAGGCTTCCCTCCTGCCGCGCCCTCTTGCTGTCAGGCCATTCTCCAACCCACTTCCTCCCTCCTCTGTCCTCTGCAGACCCCAGGCCCCATCAGGAAGGGTGCACCGCTGTGGCTGTCCTGCATCATTCCCTGCTTTCCAGAGATTTTGTTTCAGTGAATCTAATTCCTCACTGTCATGTATTGGAGGGAGGCTAAGGCTATGTCTTCTGGGCCCTGTTTTCCCCTACAGCTGGCCTAAATGAAAACATTAGAGGTCACTGGACTTAGAGCTCACACCCTGTCAGCCCCAGTTCTGAGCACAACCAAGAACAAGGCCCTTCCTAGGGTGGCATAAGCGTGGCCTGCTGGCCCATTACTATCTATTTTTGGAGCCGTGCAGACATTACTAATCAATTACTGCAATCTTTTTCCACTGGGCCAGAGGAAGGTCCTCTTCCTCTTCCTGCCTGACAGATAGACAAAGCCTATCAGAGTAACAAGGGACAGGAGATCTTCTGGCTATCCCCAACCCACGAAGGGGACGTGGGCTGAGATATATTAAACATTTACACATGACCACCAACCCCACATCTGTAACTCCCATTCCTGAAAAGACATTTTCAGCAAAACAGACACCCATCTCTTTGTTAGTCTATATTTGTGAGTAGTGCCTTTGCCCTGGTGACACCGAGACAGCTCAGCCTTGATTTCCCTGGCTCCCCCTGTCCTATATAACAGGAAGTCAAACCTCCCCTTTTGGGGGACCCCGCCTGACCTCTGAGTTTCTTTCCATCTGCACCTGTGTCCACAGTCACATGCCCCTCCAACCATCACCCCTTTTTATGACCTGCAGGCCAAAATCAGACCCCATCAGGGATTCCTGACAAGGTGACGATACATGCTTGCTTGCCCAGTTAGGACTACTATCCCAGCATACTTATTAGTAATGCCTATCTCACTTTCAAAATGCCCAGCAAGATGAATTACTTGGTCATCGAGGCTCTTCCTAATGCTTCGGGGTTCTTCAGCCTCAGCACTGCTGACATCTAGGATTGGTTAATCTTTGTGTGGGGCCATCCTCTGCCTTATAGGATATTTGGGACCATCCCACTGGATGCCAGTAGCAGTTCCCTCCCAGTGTGACAACCAGAAATGTCTCCAAACATTGCAATATGTCCCCTGGTTGCAAGATTGCCTCTGGCTGAAAGCCATTATGTTAGACTGTGACCATTTTACCCAATGCCTCTGCCTCTTCACACAGAGGTGGATTTTTCTCCTACAACTTATATGGCCCCTATGAGGCCCTGTCAACTAAAATGCTAAGTCATATCCTCTACAACACTGCCCATCCAACTTCCCTCCCATTGGTCCCTATGGGACCTTCATACCTCAACCCTTCAGGGGGTGCCTGGTACTGATGGAAGGAAGGTACATCCACGGAACTCTACAAATTGTCAAAACCACAGTGACTAACTCCTCTCCTCTCTTTCTGGAGAGTCCGTGAAGACAAGTTTTTCATTCAACAAATACTTATGGATGAGTCTGATGGGATAGGCAGCTTTCTAACTACTTGAGGATACAGCAGAAAACAAGAATGCTCAATTAGCAAGGCCAAGATGGGGCATAGACTAGGACGGGCACCGGGAGCCAAACCTAAGGGGTCAACAAACAGTACCAGGCCTACTGGATGTCAGGAGTCCGAGGACCTTGCTTCCTATCCTGCTTCAGTGGCTCAAATTCCAAGGGTCCTTAGACTAGCTGCCCATGTGCCCCAAGCCTCAGTTCCTTCACATGCAAAATGGGAGGGAAAGAAGAGAAGCTTTATGGACCTCATCACTATCATCATCTTATCACTATTGCTATAATGTTATCCGTGTAATCCAGAACCAGGATCTCGTGCAATAGGTAAATACTGGTTAGTGCAAATGAACACATTCTACAAATTGTTACATGTAAAAGGAACATGAATAGAATAAATCCCATTTGAAATGAGTTATCCGTGATATCGTGAATGTGTTGATAAAAATAAGCACTGTCCATAATTTGTTTGACCTTTAGTACAATATCCGGTTGTGATTGGTGCTGGGCCAAACAGAATGGAACCCACTGGGATTCCACAGATGGGGCCAGAGCACTGACTCAGGGTCTGAATAAATGAGGGGTTGGAAAGGTTGGTGAGAAAAAAGAAATTTTAACATATTTACAGTTAGCAAGAGAAGGATGCAGAAGCTATATGGAGGTATAGTCTTATCTTTCTTCAAACAGACTCAGGTCTCAGCGCTGGGACCAAGTGCCTGGCCAGGGACCCAGGAGAGAGAAGGAGAGATGTGCCATCTGTAAGGGTAGGAAGAGTACAGAGTGGGCAGGTGGTCTGAGTGAGAGAGTGATGGATGAGTGGTGGCTGGTTTAGACCTGATACCTTCTTTCTTCCTATTTCCCTTACTTCATTCTCTCAAGGGGGAAGGGATGGGGCCTAGGTCTAGGCCAGGTTGTGGCTGAGGAGCACATTATTTAATTTCTCTGAATTGTATCTTCCCGTATGTCCAATGAGGAGCTGTGTTGGATGAGACATGGTGAAGTGGATTCAACTCACTTTTTGATTGACTGCCTGGGGCTTCTTGGTGCACTGTGTTGAGAAGGATTCTGAGGAGTCTCAGTCTTGGTTCTCAGGCCACCTATTTGCAGGGCTGGCCTAGCTACTCTCCAGGAATGCTCCTTCCTCCCTCCCTTGTCCTATCCCTTCTATCTCCCCACCCTGCTGCTTCTTGAGCAGCTCAGTGAGCAGAGCACCAGGGCACATATTCCTCTTAAGCCATAACTTAATTCACTCATAATTGCTCCCTGCATTCCATCCCATGAAACTAGCCCCCAAATTGCTCTTGGAAACTGAATTCATACATTTCAAGATTTTAATCTTTGTTGCTCCTTAGTCACCTAATTTCCTCCCAGCGGGGCAGAGATTTCTGCACCAAATGCTGGAGCAGACCCCTATGGCCTCCTCTCATGCCCTTGGCCTCCTGGACAGACCAGTAAGACTCTCTTTGGAGAGACCATTTCCCAGACAGTGGTCGCATAAACTTTTCTAGCAGTCCCACAAAACTCTTTGGCTTAATTCCTTAAACTCATGGATTCTTCCCCCAAAGCCAAGAACCTTGCAACCTTCTTAGAGATGAAACTGGGGAAGCCCTGAGACTGGGCCCTCCATCATAATCTCACCACACCCTTTCATTCACTATTGACTTTTAAGGCTCTTCATTATAAGTTTTTCTTTGTTTTGTAATTTTATCTTCTCTGAACTCACACATCCTTCCAACTTGGTCTTATTTTTAAGAAGTTGGCTTAGGCACGGGCTCACATTGACTTGCTGTGAAGTGGGGTTCTATAAGAAAACACCAGCACCCCAGATATATTGGTGAATATTGTAAATATGGGTAGGATCAGGATCAGAACCATGGTGTGGAAGAATTCAGAGGGCAGAGGCAGTTTCAGACCATTTTATTTGCCCCTTTGATGTCTGCCCTCTCTGTGACCCTTTTAGTTCCTTATCTTGTTCTGATAGCAAGGAGAATTTATGGCAATCCAGAAATCTCTCTGGCAGGACTAAATATGATTTTGTACAAAAGGATGGAGGCGGGTAATGGACTCTTTGATGATAAAACCAAACTCAGAGCCTTCTGACCAGCGGAGCTGGAGTGAGCGAGCCATGGAGCAGCCAGGACCAGGCGCCTCCACACCGGGCCTGGCTAGTGTGCCGGGACCCCAGCTGGGGCACCTGACAGCACTGGGGGAGTAAGGGGAAATCCTATGTCCCCCAAACCCTGGTGGTGCTTCAATCTTGGCTGGGCTAGAGAGAAGCTGAGAGCCAGGACATCGAGAGCCTCTGGACTGGGTAGGGAGTGACCTGGGGAGACTGTGAAGCAGGCAAAGGCTGCAGGATGCAGCAGGAAGTCCTCAGGAAGCCTCAGAGGGGGAGGGCCCATGTGGGTGGGAGCTGAGCCTCCCTCCTGGCCCCTTGGTCTTTCTTCCTTTCAAATCCACCTCTTCTTCCCTTGAATAGGTTTGTAGTCTCCCCAGCCTCAAGAACCTTCTGCTGACCTCCTATCCTTCCTCTCTCTGTCTTTTCACCATGGTTCAGTCACATGGTAGACGTTTAGGTCCAATCTAGACCAGGGGCCACTTGTGGACATTCCCTCAGGAGCTCCAACACCCTGGGTCTGGCATGGACACCAGCCATCAACGGCCTTGTGCCCAGGCCACAGGCTGGCTCAGGGCTCTAAGCTCCCCTACTCTTGACAGCCTGCCTGGACCCAGTCCTTTGAGGTTGGGTACTGCCAGCTCTTCTCCAAGCTCCCGGGTGGGTGGGCTGGACCCTTCAGTCACCCATCAGCCTTCCCAGGATTCACACCCTGCACCCCAGCATCACCTGGCCCTGGCCCGGGGCCACCAGCCTGAAGGACACAGTGGAGTTGTGCATTGGTTGCCTGGATGGACCCAGGTCTCTGCCACCAGCTGCTCCACCCCGGGTGCATGTCCCACAGCTGGTCTGGGAGCGGGCATGCCACTAAACTAAGAGCTGAAAGAAGTTGGAAGGTCCCTGATCTGATTGTGTGTTGATAGGGCTGCTTGAAGCCCCAATAGGGTGACGGGGAAGGGAGAAAGTGTGGGGCTATGGAGCACAGAGTTTGCTTCCCTGGGCTGTCCAGCTACACTCTGTACCAACACTCACTGTTTTCTGAGACATCTGCTCTTCCCTCGCTTGCTGGTTCTGCTCCTCATCCTCACAGGCCTCGTCCACACTCTCATCCCTCACCTGCCTCACTGGCTTCTAGCCCTGGCCTGCCGTTCACATGAGACGGGCAGGCTGGAAAGGGAGCCTCTTCTGCTCCCCCTCTCTCCTCCCTCCCACCCCATTTTCTCCCGCTGACATCATTCCACCCAGCTCACGACTTTTCTCCTTTCATCACTTTGGTCAAAACAAATGACCCATCTCCGCTGACTTCACCCTCTTTTGAAATTCTGAAGTCTGAGTCAACATTTTCTCCCTTGCTTCCCACGCACTGGCTTCCTTTATTAACCCTTCACCTCTGTGCCCACCTCCTCTGAGATGACCTCCCACCTCAGAGGTGCTGGGCGGAAACTCCCCATGCCCCATGCAGAGGGGAGAGTCCTTAGAAGGGAGGGTGGAGGCTGCTCTTCTCCTCCAGAGCAGAGGTTCCCAAGTCCAAGGGCGCTCGGGGCAGAGCGAGGCTGCAAACAGGGCCACTTCGCAGGGATCTGGCTGGGACCTGACTTCTGGAGAAGCTTTCATTTCGAGAGAGAGTTTCAAGGTCCCCAGCATGTTTGGAAACTGCTGGTTAGAAGGGCTGCCCCCGTCTGTTCCCCCATGCGCTCTGGTTCAACGCCTGGACCCACACCTAGCCAAGGACAGCCCTTGGCTGCGGTCGCCCTTCTGTGTCTGAGCACTGTTACAGGATCTGCCATCTGCACTCCACCACAGGCTTCTTCTGCCCAAGCCAACTGCCTTGCTCTCCCTTCCGCCAGGGAGATCCCGCCCTGCGGGGGTCTGAGCAGGGGCACATGGGGCAAGCCCTCACCTGCCAGCACCACACTCCTATTCAGGGCCCCCACCTGCCCTCCTCTAGGCCTCCCTCCCTCAGTGTCAGGACCGCTCCAGCCGCCCGGGTCCCCGGTACTCTGGTTTCCAGGAGAGGAGACTCAGGTGTGAGTCCTCCGATGGTGAGCGACATTATGAGGCACGCACGACAGGAACTCCACTGCGAATACCAGACTGTGACCGGTTCTTTGTCTTTAGAAATTTGGCCCCAAAATCCAATGACTTTTTCTTCAAAGTTTTATCAATTTTTTTAACCCAGACCAAGTGTTCAGCAGAGCACCTGGTTCCTGGCCTGAGGATCCCTGCTCTTCCACGAGGCCTTGAGGCACCCATTCCAGGCACCTGCGGAGTGCTCCCCTCCCATGGCCTGACTGCTGCATGGAGACCCACATACTGGTACCTCCAGTAGTTGCCAGAGGAATTCAGGAAGAGGCTGATGGTGGACAGGACTGAGGACCAGTGAGGGGACTGGACCCTTTGGAACCAGGGGACTGGCCCTGGGACCCCTCCCGCCCCCACGAAGGCTGCAGGCCCGGCCCTCCCTGTCGTACCTGAGAGGAGGACCTGGCCCGCGAGCTGCCCGTACACTGAGGCAGCGTGGGGAAAGGCATTGAAGGGCGGGACCGAGGCTCCCGCGGGGACCCCAGAGCCGACTTGCTGCAGGTCCAAAAAGGCCGAGCTAGATAAAGAGGAAGGGGTGGAGCTAGAACTGGACACCTCGGGGCTTTCCTGCTTTATGGCGAAGGGTGAGTGAGGATCTGCTGGGGAGGGAGACAAGGAGAGAGGGTGAGATGATGGTGGGAGCATGCACAACAAGCCATGAAATGGGGGTGCGGGCTCGGGGTGGCTGGGCTGGTGCTCCTGGAGCTGAGAGATGGGAGCAGCTCTGCTCTGCTGTGCCCCTGCCAGTGTGCAGAGACCTGGAGTGCCCGCCTCTCCACAGTGCACAGCAGGCAGAGGAGGGGCTGAGCAGAGAGGGTAGGACCCTCCTGACCCACCAGGGGGCCCAGCCAGCAGAGCCCCTCTCCTCTCCACATCTAGGGCCCTAACACCTTTCTCCTCACACCAGCCTTGCCCTGCTTTTGCCTGCCCTCCAGCCCAACCTGGCAGCCAAGGCCACATGGCTCAGAGATTCTGGGTATCCTACCTGTCACCACGGGGTAGGTCTGGTGAGTCGAGAGGTTGCGCCCCAAGGGTGTGTTGGAAGGGGTCAGGGTGGCCTTCCCGTCGTCCAGGGCGCTGTTGAGCAGGGGCAGCGGGTAAAGGCCCTGGGGAACAAAGAAGAGTCTGCATATAGGCCCCTGGGACAAGCCTTTCCTGCAGCTGTCACTGATCCTTGACTCCATGGAGCGTGTTTAACGGCTTCTTATTCCTGACGCACAGTCCTGCTCTTCTTTTACTCCCAGGCTCCCGGCTGCCCCTCGGCAGTGGTTCGTGGCCTGTGAGCAGGCACAGGATGAAGCGTCTCCTTCCCAGGACCTCCCACAGGCTGGTGAGTCCCTCTCCTTGCGGGCTCACAGGATGTGAACCCACCAAGGACAAGATGCCGGGTGGAGCTTTAACCCACTGGACCATGTAGGACCATTTATTCCTTCCAGAGAGAAAATGCAGGCATGAAAGGTCACTCTCCCACAGGGGCCCAAGCCAGGATTAAACTCAAGGGGCCGGGCTGCCATGCCATGCCCCCAGCCGCTGCCCTGAACTGGTTAACAGCATTGCCACATCTGGATCACAATTTCCCTGGAAGCCTTGTGATGTGGGCAAGCAACACTGGGCCTGCTTTCTATGTGGAGAGCTTGCCAGAGGCCCTTGGGAAAACAGGGACCACACTGGAGACATGGCCCCGACCCAGGTGCTGTCTCCTGCAGTCACTGGGCAGCTGTGGTCCCCACCAGAACAGGTGTGTCTCCTTTCTCCTCTCCATATCCAGGCAAATAGAAATGTTTGGGTTCAGCCTGAAGATGATATTGGGGTTCATTTTGTTTAAAGAACTCTTTATCAGTACCTGGATTTCTTTATTAAGAGCTCCGGTTAGACTCCCCCTCTCCTAAGGCACTCTCTCCAGAAAGAAGTTGTTCACTTCAAAGCTGCACATGCCTCCCCCACTGAGACCCCTCCCACCAGAGGCCAAGGCAGCACACACAGTGCACACTGTTCCCCACACACATCACAAGCATGCTATGAAAGCTGAGCTCAAGCTCTAGCTGGTGTGGCTGCTGGTTGGGTGTTGCCCCATGCACCAAAGGGTTGCTGGTTCGATTCCAGGTCTGGGCACACAACCAGGTTGCAGGCTTGACCCCAAATAGGGAGTGTGTGGGAGGCAGCTGATCCATGTTCGTCTCTCACATCTATGTTTCTCTCTCACCCTCTCCTTTTCTCTCTCTCACTTTCTCTCTCTGTTAAAAAAAAAAAATCCATTTAAAAATCTTTATTAAAAAAAAAAAAAAAGATAATCTTAAAAAAGCAGAACTCAAGGATTACTTTCTGGTTACATACTAGTCCACTGAGGCAGTCACTTCCAGTGACTTCCATGGAGCTGGCTCTCCCAGAGGCCGCAGCACTTTCAGGGTGCGTGTTGACTGACTCTCCCAGCCCACAATTCCCTCTGGAGGCCGAGAGTGCACCATCACCGTGCAGAGCAATTACTGACTCAGGGGTGCTCTGGTCCCAGCCTCTGAGGGGGGCCCATGCCTCTGAGGGTGGAGATGCTTGGCACGGCTTAGCAAAACTGAACAAAATACCTAATTTCTAGAGCAGGTGAGGGAAGTTTAAAATGCCTGTGAATGTGTTGGTTCCATACCAAAATACCTATTGAAATCTGTAGCAGCTCTAAAATCCAGGAAATTTAGTGGAACACCCCCCCCCACACACACCCCACCCCCAAGAAACAAACAAAAAAATGAAACCCAAACATATCTAGCCAGCTACTCAGGTGCTGTTGCCCAGGATGGCTTCCACATCCCAGCAATGACTGGCTTTCTCACGCGGAGTGAACTTGGACTGGGGTGCAGAGCAGCACAATGCTTTAGAATGCGGGGAGCCCTGCTTCCCTGCTTCTGCACCACCAGCAGGGCAGCTATGGTGTCCCGGCCTTTTGGAGCCTTGATTTGTATCACCTGTGCGGGGGGGCAGCAGGATTGAGGCTGGTGTCAGCATCGAGGTGTTACAGACACAGATGGAGCACTTAGCAGAAGTGGGGACAGCACGTGCTCTGTGCAGACTTGCCACAGGTAGTGTCATTTCAGTCATCGGAGAGTAGGAGCTACCAAGTTCTCAGTCCCTGTCATCTCACCACTCCCTTCTGTTGATCTGTTATCAGTGCACTTGGAAGACAGAGGAACAGAGCCGCTGAGACTCCTAATCAGGCCTGGCACCGAAGCACAATGCTTCTGTCCAACACGCTTCCCCATTTGCATTTACAGAAAAGACAGCGTGTTTGCCCCACCCTGAGGCCAGGTGTGAGGACAAACAGCAGGGCTGTTCCTCTGGCAGCACCGTCAGTCACCAAGAAAGGCCCCTCACCAGCCTGGGCTCGCCCTGCTCCAGAACTGGGTGGATGAGAACCAGCTGCCAACTGGCTGGGGAGGGAGGGGTCACTGGTGAACATGCTTGGTGGGCCTCAGCCTCCCCGTATGGAGGACAAGGTGATGGAGCAGCTCCATGGCTTTCCAACTCGCTTGTCCGTCTTCAAATATGAGCCTACCTAGAAGCAGGGCCTCTAAGTAGGTTCTTATTTGGGCCAATCTGAGTGGCACCAGGGCCTCAGTCCTAGGCTCCACAGCTGCTTTATCCCCAGGCCCTCTCTACCGTCCCTGGCCCTGGCTCATCTCCACCCAAATGAAGACACTGGGCTCTGTGGTCCCAAGGGCCCTCTGGCTTTGACTCTCCCAGCCCACGAGTCCCTGTGCAGATGCCAGCCTGGTGCGGAGACTTGGACTCCTTGTGACTGAGCAGGGTTCCTTGGGGGCTCAGGAATGGGACTTGGGGTGTGGGGGTAAGTGAGGTTCTGCATCTCAGTGACAGGGCTCTTTCCTTCTGCCGGGATGGCTGATGTGTGCACTCTGGGCTGTGCAGGCTCCTGTGACCAGGGCGAGCTACCACTGCTGCACCCTACTCCCTCCAGAGCCGTGTGCTGATTTGATGAGCACCCAGCCTGTCCCCAGGTCTGCTGACAGCCAGCTTTCTCTGCACCCCTCGTGGCTACCATGGCCCAGGCTGATAAAATCGCTGACGCAGATTGCCTGCCCAGCTGCAGGTGCTGGCACGGGCCCAGATGCCTAGATGGCCACTGGCAATGGTTCAGCTCATGGGTGGCATCCTCACCATTGTCCTGCTCAGATCTTAAAGGTATAAGCCTTTGCTTCACTCCTAGACAATGATAGCGTGGGCAAAGAGTGGGGGAAGACATCACCCCGAAACCCCTCAGCTGGCTAACTACCTGGGCGGTGGGGAGACATGGACTGTTGACAGACAGAAGTGGTCAGAGGCAGCGCCTGGAAGCTGAGGCAGAGTGTGGAATGTTGCTGGCCCCGGGAGACTGGGCTGTGACTGCCACCTTCACAGAAACTGCCCCTATCAATGGTCCCCTTCCTGGGCACCGGGAAAGAGATGCCACTGGCTGCACTTCTCAGTTCATTCACTCAACCATCCTTTACTGAGCATCTATTATAACAAAGGCACATGTTCGGTGTGGAGATTTTATAAGGTGCTCCAAGATGCTGCCCACTGTGCCTTACACCTCTGTCCGCTGGACAACTTTGACCCTGCGTGAGAAGTGACGAGGAGTGGCCAGTGAGGTGCAGAAGCCCAGGAGGGAGAGAGGACACACACCGTGGAGAGGAGAGGACTCATGGGTAAAGTGATGCTTGAGCTGAGTCCTAATGGCGGGCGGTATTTTTCCAGGCAGAGACGTGGGAGGAAAGGCATTCGCAGGGAGGCACAGGGTGTGCCAGAGCAGAGAGGTGTGAACGAGAGTGCATGCTTGGGGGCGTGAGTAATGTAGGGTCATGGGGTGTGCAGGCGTGAGTGGCCGGAGGTGGGACTGGAAGTGCTGCTTGAGGCCATAGTGGGAAGGCTTCAGGCTGCAGCTCTAGAGCTGTGGGACCCGACCCTGCGGTCTGGGGGGCACTGCGGGCAGGGTTGTGGCACGGCCTGGCCGTGGCTCCCTGGGAGAGGGCTGAGCTCAGTGTGGATGAGGGAAGAAGGCAAGAGGGCTGGGAGGAGGCGGAGAAAGAGCTAGCACTGGTGAAACAGTAAAGGTTTGGGGCTTGAAGCTGCATGAAGCTCCTGCCCCACCCAATCAAAGCAACTTCTGGCTGCTCTGGTGGCAGGACTGCAGGCAGATCATGGGTCTGCAGAGACGCACCTGCTGGACCCCAGCCCACCCAGGCCCTTCCACCTCCCCATCTCACCTGCTCGCCTTTGGTGTGGCCGGGGGAGGTGTAGGCCTCAGGGTAGTGCTGCCGCTCGAAGGGGCACTCAAGGGGCTCGAGGTGGTGCTGGCTGAAGGCGTCCGTGCGGAGGTGCTTGCGGGGCCCGCTGCTGCTGCTCTGGGAGTCGATGCTCAGCCGGCAGCTGTCTTGGTCACCTGGAGTCCCCGAGCAGAAAGAAAGCTCTCAGGGGGCCTATCTCCCCATCTTCAGGCCAGAGTGGAGGAGCAGACTGAGCTACCGAGGGGGGGAAGGACCCAGGTCCCTGGCCTCCAGGCCTTAGGGCTGTGGTCGCTCAGAGACAGGCCACTGGCTACAGGGAAGTAATTGCCAAGACAACACATTCCTGGGCCCAAGGGGGCTTCTGGCCCATCAGAGCTTGAGCCCTCCTGTACCCCAACCTGCCCTCCATGCCCCCCATACTCACTGTCATCCATCTTCCTCTTGTTCTCGCTGCCAGGCTGGGCGATCCCCAGTAGCCCATTGATGGAGTAAGTGGAGCCCAGAGAGTCAGACTGGGGTGACTCCGGGGGTGTCACGGCCGAGCTGGGGACTACAGAGCATGAGAGGGACAGGGTCAGGATGGGGGAAGGACACCCCTGAGAGCCCCTGCCCCACCACAGTCCGGCCTCATGCTGTGCTTCCTAAATATCTCCTGGTTGGTTCCTGGGAGCCCACAGGCTTTGTCTCCTGGAAGGGCTGGGGCCACACGGAGCAGGTGAGCCGTGTGTATGCAGATGGGCATGTGTGTGCAGAGGAGTGTGCCTGCGGCCCCTCCACACTCACTCAGCGTGTGTCCTGGGCTCAGGGACTTGGTGGCCACGCAGCTGTCCATGGGGAGGTTGAATGGTTGCTGCACTTTGGTCCGGATGATTCTGAAGGAAGGGAAGAAAGACTGGTAGAAGAGGAGGAGACATGACCAGCGGCTGCCCCAGGTCCAGTTCCCTTTCTGAAATCCCACTTGGTGACTTAAAAAGCATATCACACGAAACCTGTCCACATCGAACCCATGACTGTACTCCTCACCCTGGGCCCTTCCCAGTGTCCCCATTTCATGGGTGGTGGTCAGTCACTCACTAAGTACCGGTGGGTATAGCCCTGCCTCCCCACTCCCCCTGCTATCACGCCATCCTCAGGTCTGTGGTCTTACCTGGGAACTGCCCCTGACTTGATCCCTCTCTGCATCTCACAGCCAATGTCTCAGTGTGCACTGTGCCCATGTGCCTCTCCACCCATTCCCTGGCCACCCATTTGCTCTTGACCTTTCTAGTCTCTTCTCCTTATTGCAGGCAGGCTGGACTTTCTGAAAAGCAAGTCCGCCTGCTGCTTAGCACTGCCAAGGGCTCCTCGTTGCTCAAGGGTCAGAGGCAGGAACATGGAGCCTGACCCCTACCCTCTAAAGGGCAGCCTTTGCTGACAGCTCCCCCTCAGCCTGCTTCCTGCTCCCCTCCTACCTACTGGGTTTCTTTCAGCTTCTTGTATGAGGTCCTGCTAGTCACGGGGCCTTTGCATGTGCTGTCACAGAGCTCTGCTGGCTCCGTTTCTTAGTTAGTGAACTCGTATTCACTGCTTCTTACTCAGGGGCATCTTCTCATAACCATCCTAAACCAAGTCACCCCGTGATAGCTCACGGACCTCCATGTTATAGCTGCACTTGTACAATTGTTCCTGTGGTTACTTGAATAGTGGGTGTCTTCCCACTAGACTATAAGCTCTACCAGAACGAGGATTTTGTGCCTCCAGGGCCTAGCACATAACCATGAGTTATGTGTGTATGAATGAATCAATGAGCGAGTGAGCCAATGATTGATTAAGGTAGTGAGTGAATAACTAACTGAATAGCTAAACAAATGAGTGACTATCTGAATGAGGGCCAAGTTAGGGTTCTTGTGGCTTAAGAAAGGGTCAATTCAAGAAGAAGATTGTTTTATTCAATGAAACATGAGGTGGTGTGTTAGGAAGGAAACTGCAGGAATTACAGCCAGGAAGGGAGTGGGATGCCTGTGGCCCTGAGGAGATGAGGAGGTGAGATGCCAGCCTGTGCTTCCTATCTGGCTCCAGGCCCCCTCCCCCCTCTGGTCCACGAGCCAGGGCCTTCCTCTCGCATGACCTCTGAGACCCCTGATTGCCGTCGGCCTCTCACCTGTTGATGGAGCTGACACTAGGCACAGTGTCGTTGTCACAGACGCCCTCAGCCAGGAGCCGGTCTCGGATCTCCCAGGCAAACATGGTGGGGTTCTGTCGCTTGTAGTCCCCGATCTTCTCCACCACCTTGGGGGTAGCCACCTTGGGCTTGGAGCCACCTATCACCCCAGGCCGGATGCTGCCAGTCTCGTAGTACCTACTCCAATAGACAACCCAAAGATTACCCAGTAGGCAGGTGAGTCTCTGGGCGTGGACTTAACCAGAGACCCTTGTCCTTTCTGAGGCTTCTGGGGAGAGGCCCAGGGTCACACGTGCCCCCAAGGCTGGCCTCAAACGCTGCCCCCCAGTGCTGTTTCCCTGCATGGGCAGGTTTGTGCTGGCCACTCTGCTGAGGACCCCATCCCCCGGACCCCTGGCTCTTCCTTTGCCTTTCCCTTTGGCTGGTATGAGTGCCTTCTGGGCCACCCTGGGGCCTACAGATTCCTTTCTAAGAACAGGAATGCTGGCTCATAGGCTCCCTGTGAGTCACAGCTCACAGTGGCACGTCCTCGTCCATCTCTGCTGGCTGCAGCATGACTCACTCTTCTCCCTGTCCACCCTGGTTTGGCCCTCCCCAGGAGGGCAGCTCTGTCCCATCTGCTGGTTCATCTTTGTTCCCATCCCACCCCCACCCCCATCCCCCTTTGGGCACTGTTTTCTACCAGGTTTCAGGGGTCAGGTAGAAGCCGTTCTCACAATCTCTAGAATCCCAGCCTTGCCTGGATGTCTGGCCATATCCCCTCCTTACATTGAGCCTGCACCCCTTTCCTCCTTTCCCTTCACCCAACCAGCTGCTTTTTAGCAGGTCAATGACCTATGTCAGGATACTGCCACGTCCTTGTTCTGGAAACTCTTTGGTTTCCTCTGCCATGAAATAGCATCTGCCCTTTAAACTCTGTTGCCACCATCTAGGCACCACCTCCTCTCTGTGGTGGTTGGCCCATCCTGAGGTCCCCTCTCCTGACCCTGAAGGGGCCGCACTCTTTCCTGACAACATTAGCTGGGAGGTCAGAGCTTCTCGCCATTTGGTGACAGGTCCTTTGCCTCTAAACCAGAGCTCCTCCCAAGTCTACTTGTGTGGGGTGAGGGAAGAGAGGCAGCTCCCCGGGGACTGGAAGCTCCCACCCTCTGCCTCAGGCACTTGGGCAGGAGTGGTCCTCCAGGCAGAGTCAGCCTGGATCAGAGCTTTGCTGTCCTGGCTCCACCTGAACCTCTGGGTGGTGATTTCAACTCTGGCCTTAGGATCATGTGAGGCCCAGAATAATTCCAAACTTGGGCCTTACCCATAAAATTCTGCCCTAACAGGCATGGGCTGGGCCTAGGCCTTGAATACTTTTTAAATTAAAGGTTCCCCAGGCAGGTCACCTGGTCATCTCAAAAGCTCACAGCATCCAGGCCTGGCTGCCAGAGAGGGTGGAGGCCCAGGGGTTTGACTGTGGAAGCCATCTCTGAGGGTGTGCCCCTTCCCTCGTGGCTCCAACTCCCTGGGTCTCAGCAGGCAAGGCCCTTTGGGGAAGAGTCTCCTGCTGTAGGAGTGAGAAGCCTTTGGAAAATGAGACACACAGCCAGGAGAAAAAGGGAGCATGCAGCCCTGGTCCCTGGGAAGGAGGTGGCTGCGAGCCTGTAGGGTGCAGAGGCCTCCCTGCCGGAGGGTGGAGGGTGGTGAATTTCGTGCTTACCTGCCAAGAATCTTGCTGACACAGCCATGGCTGACACGAAGCTGGCGGGAGATGTCACAGGGCCTCACGCCCTGATGGGCCAGGTCCACTATGCGCTGACGCACCACTTCGGGCAGGGGTCTGCCGTTCACGAAGGCCCCTCCCAGCTGGTTCAGCCCTCCGTGGCCTAGGAAGACAATAAATAGTCCCAACACAGTTGTCAGGGCCAAGCGGCACCCCGGTTCACTCCGAGCCTACGTCCCCCACCCCCCCTATTCAAACACACATGGACTGCGTGCCTATGACATGGCAGGCACTGTACCAGGACCTGGGATGCCAGGGGGAATGAGGCAGATGTGGCCTCTGCTCTTGCCTCGCGAGGCTTATTAAAGTGGGGCCGAGACTGCCCATGGCCCCTCAACATACCTCATGATCACTGCTGGGACATGCAGAAGGTATGGGGGGACCAACCTCAGGCTCAGGGCATCAAGAAGGCTCCAGAGAAGTCTAAGCTGTGCATGGAGTGCAAAGAGAGAAAGGACAAAGCCATTCTGGGCCATGGGACTCCAGGCAAAGCTGAGAGGCGAGAAGGGGTTCATCCTTGGACTGATCCGCTGCCTGGAGCTGGGCGGGCTAATTTCAGGCTGAGAGCTCCCTTACTCTGATGAGGACACGGGGGCTGGGGAGTTCTAGTGGCTTGATTCACAGGACGTTTGTGACTCAGCTTCTATGAGAGGGAGTCAAGACATGACCCAGGGTAAGGTCCACGCAGCGTCCTGTGTGGGCCCTGCTTTTCCTTTCGCGGCCCAGAACTGACTCAGGAGCTGGGCATTGGCCCTGAGTCCTGTGCTGAGGGGCCACAGCATGGACATGAGGCATCTTTTCTCACGGGGCAGGGTGTGCTGACCAGCTGTTTTGGTGGAGTCTGGGTTGATGGGGGGCACGAGGGGATGTCAGGGGACCAGGCAGGGAGGAGGAAGAGCAGAGCCAGGCTTCTGCATGAGCCCATGAAGGACTATTTATGGCTGGGGCACATCGTGCCCATTCCTGCCCACCGACTTAGCACATTCAGAACTGCTGTGTCACCTCGGGGCCCAAGCTGTCTTCAGCACGACCGTCAATTTCTCTTAAAAAAAAAAAAAAGAAGAAGAAGAAGACCAAAAGCCTCAGGCCACGGCAGTAAGTCAGGAAGAAAAGCCCGCTGGCCAAACACCCGCAGGAGGGGACACGGTGACCCATCTTCCTGGTGAGCTTGGGCACAATTCACAATTTCCCACCTTTCAGTTCTCGACAGCCTGTCCCTCGAGTGCTTTTCCACCAGGACTGGGAAGAAGCCTGGAGGGCATCAGGGCCACCAGAAGGCCAGGAGTGGCTTGTGCCCAATCCTGGGCCCATTCCATTGGCTCCTCCTGGGCCAGAGCCTTTCCCAGCAGAATGGCTGCAGCCATTGGACCCTCATTCCCTCCTGGCTGCCTTTGGCTCTTTGAGGTCCAGACATTGAACACCAGGGGGCGCCAGACAGTCACTCAAACCCAGGCAAGCCCTGGGGGTCCAGCTTTGTCCCCATTTCCCAGAACTTGGGCTCCAAGTCCATCTGTCCGTTGTCCCCGTCCCCCCTCCCCGCTCCTGCTTCCCGCCCCAGGCTTAGGTGTTGGCACCAGACCTCTGTATCTGGCAGCCAGGCTTCCTGCGGGTGGGGTTGTTCATCCCTGACAGGCAGAAGATTTAAAACACCAAAAGCCATTTTTGGGTGGCACGAATTTGGTACTTTGACTGAAAAAAAAAAAAAAATCTACCCTGTTTCCCCGAAGCTGTGTGGGTAATTGTCCTCAGTCATCCTGAAGGGCTGACCTTGGAGACTGGAGGCCCCCAGGACTCTCCTGAAGATTCATACTCCACCAGCCAGTATGGCTGCGAAGGGGAAGATAAGTTCAACCTCCAAATGGGAATTCTCTGGTGCTTTATTCTATTGTACTGGCTTCTGAGTGACTGTGTTGCTACACAGAGTGTTGGGTCAGATTCCTACACTGACTTTGCCTGCTTTAATTTTATCATTTGAGGAAGTTGGGTTTTGCTTCAACCTTAGTGTTTTCATCCATCAAATGGAGTTAAGTAGCACCTCTTAACTGCGTCTGCTGCTGACCTGTAAGAGCTACTGTAAGAAGATGGAGGGGAGGAGGGTGGTGAGAGTGGAGAAGTGTTTGGCTAGTTGAAAATCTTGATTTTAAGTGTCATGTTTTTCTGATTTTTAATATTTACGTGTTCTGGCCCAGGTGTGGCCCTGACACTGGGTCAGTGGTTCTCAAACTTGAGGTGCATCAGAATCACTGTGGGGGCTTGTTAAAACACAGGCTCCTAAAAAATGAAAAAAATAAAAGAGAGAGAAAAGAAATAAAAACCAAAAAACCCAAAAAACAAAACAAAACAAAATAAAAAAACAAACAAACACAAAAACACCCCAAAACACAGGCTTCTGAGCCCAGGGTCCTGAATTTCTGCATCAGCAGGTCAGGGATGGAACCAAGAACCCAAGTTTCTAAGAAGTTTCCTGGTGGGGGTGCTTGCTGGCCTGGGGCTACATGTTGAGAACCATTGAGCAATGGCTGGTAAAGAAAATGTAAGAGATTAATTAACTACTTGTGCACCTTCTACCTTTCCCCACCTTACTCTAGAATTGTATTTCCTATTGTTTGTATATTACAGTTTTCATTTATTTTTTTTTCTCAACACCTACATACGGAGAGCCCACCATGAAGCAGGTACATTGCCCTGGGGGTGCTGCCTTGAACAAGATGAGAAACCAGGCCCTTGAAGACCCAAAAAAAATTTTTGGGGGTGCAATTGTTCAGGAAGAAGTGTTTTGAGAGAGGTAAGCCCCGATGCTGGGGGCCCATAAGTGGTCGGAAGGAAGTTGTAGGGAGGGATGATCTGGAGGTCTCCAGGTGAAGAAGTTTTCATAGGAAAAAGTTCACGCACAAGGTCATGGTGCTCTCAAGACATGAAAGACTTGTGGCAACTGTGGGATGGCGGGAAGGAGGCCAGGAGAGGCCTGCTGGCTGCAGAGGGAGATGGCCCCTCTGGTTTGAGGTTTGGAACTGAGTCCTTGTAGTGGAAGGATGTTTGTCCTTCCTGTGTCCGGTGTGGGGGAGTGGACTCCTTTGGGTGAGTCACACCAAATGCCCAGAGGTGGGTGCAGTCTTCCTGCACTGAGGGCCCACACCCACTGTGCTGACCACCTTCCATGTGGCTGTGGACGGGAGGACTTTGAGACTGCAAGCCAGAAACAAGTGGGAACCCCTTATTGGACCAGGGGGAAGGTGTGGACCAGGAAAAGGCGTAGAGCTTCCTAAACAAAGGCCCTTTGCATGGTCTGGAGGGTTGTGGGTGCAGAATGGCGGGTGTGAAGGAGGAAGACAAGATGCCTGGCTGGACACAGCAGGTTCTGGGTGCTAACTTTCCTGGGTCAGAGAGGATTTATCCTACAAGCAAAAGCATTTGCAAGTCTGCAAAGCCCTAGGGAAGCCTGCTGTTCAAAAACGTAGACTTCGGAAAAGTGACCATCTGGTCGGGTCTTAGGACTTTCTTCTTTTTTTATTTTTCTTTCTTTTTTTATCTTTATTGTTGAAAGTATTACAGATGTCCCCTTTTTCCCCATTGACCTTTTTTAGTCTCCTCTACCCCCTTAGGCCATCACCCCACTATTGTCTGTGTCTATGGATTATGCATATATGCATGCAAGTTCTTTGGTTAATCTCTTCCCACCCACTTACCCACCCAACCCCCACTTCTCTCTGAGATTCCATAGTCTATCCCATGATTCTATCTTTAAAATTTTTTTTTTCAATGACCGTTTACATTAAGTATTATTCTGTATTAGTACTCTACATAGTGGCCCCTGATATTTTAAGAAACCACTTGGCCCCATACATAGTTATTACAATATTACTGACTGTATTCTTTATGTTGTAGTTTACATCTCTGTGACTATTCTATAACCACCAATTTGGAGATTAAGAAGCACACCTTGGAACTCCCTTTGATAATTTCCTCACCCTTTACAGGTGCTGAGGTCTAGGGATGGTAGAAGGATCAGGAAGGCTCATTGCCTCAAATTCGCATACCATCACCAACACCCAAACTCTGAAGATGTGGGGATGGTTTCCTGGGCCTCACAGTTCTTTGTACACATCTCTGTCACAGCAACGACGGCACCGCGCCTGTTCATTCTGCTTTATGTGTCTCCTCTTACATACATACCCCTTTCACAAAAGTTTAGCTAATACTCCAGTACCATATATGTGACAGACAAATGCTTCGTAGATGCAAGGGGTGCTGGAATGGCTGTCGAGTCGATTCTCCACCCTGGATCCCTGAGTCCCAAACTCAGGTACTTGCCTCTTGTACCCGTGGTTTCTCCCACCTCTGCCTAGTCCTGAAACACCAGTGGTTCAATATCTTGTTCTGTGGCAATTTCCGTTTAGCTACCTTGGGATTTTTGCTTTTGGCCCTCAAAGAGTTTTATGGCAAGAGTTTGAGGCTTGCAGGACTACCATCACAGAAGTGGGATGTTCTTTATTTCTTTCTCTTTTTAAAAAAAAAAGTTTTTCTTTATTTTAGACAGAGAAGAAGGGAGGGGGAGAGAGATAGAAATATCAATGATGATAGAGAAATATTGATCAGCTGCCTCCTGCACACCACCCACTGGGGATCAAGCCCACAACCTGGGCATGTGCCCTGACCAAGGAACAAACCAGCACATGGGTTGATGCTCAACCACTGAGCCACACCAGCTGGGTGGGGGTTTTCTTTAAATCATGCTGTGCCCACACCTCTTCACAAAGGCACAGTCTGTGTCAGTCTGACCGGCTCTGGAGTTTTAGCTTGGTGGTAGTGGTGGTGGTCTCTCCAGCACACTCACTTGCAGGCTGCAATCTGCCACTGTGGCCTGCCAGCTGCTCCCCTTGGCCTGGTGCCTATCTGGAACACACCCAGTGTTCCAACCTCTTGTTCCACCTTCCATTCCGTGTCTGCGCCCTGGATCACTCCCACATCTCTGAGGTATGGGCTACCAGGGCACTCAGGCCTGGGGTGGACCAGGCCCCAGGGGCTGGGCACCTGCATCTGGCTTCATCCCCAGCTGGCCAGGTGGCCCTCAGTGTCTCTGTGCTTGTCCTCCTCTGAAGGGGA